ACACAATATACACATAAAAAATGTTAACAAATGTTAATTCTAAGTTTTTTTTTTATTATTTTGGAGGCATAAATATTTTAATATTGTTTAAAAATTTTTCCATGGGTCTTTTATGTCCTTTTGCCACATAAAATTTGGCGAAGTAACTTTCTAAATGATGATGTGCTGTTCCTCTGTGTTTCTTATTTTGCCATTTGGGCTTAACCCATAGTCTATTTTTTGTGTGTGCTTCCAGTTTCCAGATCGACACAATTGTATTTATGGTTCACTTTGAAATGTTCGAAACTTTAATCTTCCAGTTTTTCAGTGCAATATGATTTCCATGAATCGGAATATATTGTAGTTCCTTTTTGATATTTTCCTTTATTGTCTCTAATATAATACTCAGGATCAATTTGGCACCTTCAGAAGGAAACATTCGTTTGTTTCATGACAAACTCCACCAAAGATCCACTGTTGTGGTAAAATCCGTCACGCGTTGTTTTTGTGTTTCGTGAATATACTTTCATCCACTTCAATGATTATACCAGGTCCTCCTATTTTGTGTTGTTGACATTTAAGTAAAGAATCCACACAAACATCTCGCATGTAGTTATTCCAATCTACAACTGTTCTGTGACTAATTTCCAATTGCTTTTCACACCATTTAACTGAAGTTAAATAGTTCAGTTAAATGATTCAGTTAAATTCATCCTTTACTCCAACCATAAATAAATCTTACACACTTCAAGAAATTCAATCTCGATGACTCAAACCATGTGCCTTTCTGCATACTTCTTTTAATGCAGCAGGTTGCAGCGCCATTGAATTTTGTCTTGGAAATATAATTTCATTTCATGATTATTATCACAAATAGCAATGTTAGGCAAAATGTCTTTCGCTTGAAAGAATCTGACAGATTCTTCTTCTCTCCTGGGCAAATCTCAAAGTTTCATTGGTCCTTTTTATCCATTTTTGACATGTTTGTAAAAAGACATTAATTTAAGAATTTACTATACTTTCATGGTATAACATTCTGATTTGCCGGTTCACACCCCGCGACCCCAAATTATGTCATTTCACGTAAACTACGCTACAAAAATCTGATTCTCTCAGTAATTATTCTACATTAATTTCAAGTTAAACTTTAGTATGGAATACAAGTTTAAATTCAAGAATTATTTCAGTATTATAATTTTAAAATTCTACATAACTGTATGCCAATATTGAAAGACTATTAATCTGATAAGAAATAGCAGCGACTTGTTTTGAAAATGTGGCGTGAAAGGTTATCAGCAAAGATATTCCGTTTGGCATCCGTTGTGCCATTTTTGACGACTTGTGCCGGCGAAATAGAAAAGTACCAAAATTTTTACTTATATATTCTCTTTAAACAACATTTCTACAGTATTCTAATTTGTCATACTATATGAAAATCAGAGATAAGGACACATTTGTATGATATTTTTATAATTCAAAAAGAAAAAAAAAATATATTCCACTTTTCCATCAGTAAAATTTATGTTAAACCTTAATCTTATCTTGGAAGATTTCTTATTTCCACAAAAGTACTTAACCATGCAATGGTGATTTGCTACTTAAGTAGATATGAAAATACACAAATAAATGAATAAAAGTAAATGAATTTTACACAAAAAGTACAGTAATATTTGTAATCACTAAAACAATTAAGTAAAATGACAAAAACAGGTTCAGAGAAAATTTTAACTCTTACCGTATCTAAGATCAGAAATTAATTTATCCTTCATAGCTGCTGTTAGGCTATTTGTTTTCAATAAATAATCTAAAGCAATGATTCGAGGAACAACAGTCATGAGGTTTTGTTCTCCACAACCAGTTGGCATGTATAATAATTTGTTAATAAATTTAATACAAGGTCCCATCAAGTCTCCTTAAAGTTAAAAAAAAAAAAAAAAATCAGAATCTAAACTGCACACAACTTTTTTCTTAATAATTTTAACACAGTTCAAATGAATAAGAAAATATATAATAAACAAAAACTAAATCAAATTATAAGAAGTAAATTTACAAAGTTCATTCAATTAACAAAATTTAATTTCACAAAAATCTTATTCATCTTTTTCAACTTTGGTAAATCATATTTGTGAACATATATACTCATATATATATATGAATTAATGCTTACCACTTGCAGATAAAACAATTTTCCCAGATTCAGGAATAGAATTTCTTGGAACTGTAGTTGAAACATTTCTTTTTAAAGGTGAATTAGGATTTCGCAAATCAATCAAAAATGCTTTATTGAAGTACTGGGTAGAACCTTCAGGCTTTTAAAATATAAATACAAAAAAGAATAAAACAAAAGATAAATTTAATTTAAAAAGTTTTAAAACTATTCTTGCAATTTATCTCAGAACTACAGTACAAAGTCAGCATTTCTGGATTTGACATTTTTCTGGATATTAGAACATCAGTTTAAATCTGGTAAATGGCATATAGAAATTATAAAATTAAAAATATGAAACAGTAATTTATGAAATAATGAAACACTCATGATCTTAAGGGAACCAAAATTTAAAAAAAAGTTCAATATTTGCTCAAAAATTTCAACTTTATGCTTGTCTTGCTTTATTAAACGCTTTTTTCAATGTAAGTTGTTTAATTTGCTTTGTTTTATGGGCTAATACTTTCTCTTTAATTCTGCAGATAGATATAATTTCTTGCTAAGTTACACTATTCAATTTCTGTAACTGCCAAGTACAGAATTCCCACTAAACTGTCAATACAATTTTTTTTTTTCATTTTCAGTAACTTCTCTGCCACATTCTTCACTATCGGTAGTGACATCTTTTGGATTTAGAGCCACACTACAGATCTCACGGTCTGTTAGTTGATTAATGATTGGGGCACTGTTATCGCAATAAAAAACTTCCATTATATCTTTAAACTATTCCAATAATTGGACAATTTTACTTTTTGTTTGCTATTTCTGAACACCTTCAAATTCATGGCTATCACCATACAGCTTAGTTAGTGTTCACTAATTTGTGAATCACGTATTGGCGATGTATCTGGAGATTGACGACTAAAAATACTGTTCTGCAAAATTATTTCTTGAATAGCCCACTGATGAAGTTAAGCTTGAATAATAGTAGTTTTCATTATACTTATGCCTGTTTCCTGCACATGATTAAGGTTTATCTGAGTCCTGAATACTAAATTCCCACATATACTTATCCACATTAGACTTATCTAGGGACAACATTAAGTATTCTGTGACCCAGTGCAATCTCTGCAGATCTGAAATTCTGCTGTCGAGCACCTCCCTAAATTCTAAAAATTTTGCCATCCCTTAATTTTGTTGCTTGGTGCCTCACTAACTAGACTTTTGCCTCCCCTAAATTCTGTTACCACTACAGCCACACCAGCTCCAGTTATTCTGGGCTTATCTAAATAACAAATTAGTTATTCTCATTTCAAACAGCACTAAATGCAATTTTTTGGCTTATGAGTACCATGTATGAAATCTACTTTTTACAACACCCTCAACACTTTGCAGTGGAGTTAAGCTGCAGTCTGTAATCATTGGCAAGTGTAATGCCAAGATAAAAGGTTACCCATGCTCTTTGATAGTCAATTACTAAAATTTTTAAAAAAAGTTTAGACATCATTGCATGAGTCACTTCTCATGTTACAGCGTGTTGATCGTCATGTGGTAATAAAAACAAAAAATAATAAACAAGGATATGCTAGACTGGTGTTGATGCTGAAATGAAATTGAGAAATAGGACCCTCCATAATTATTCTGAAAAAATATCGTGTACAGTATAAAAAAATTCTAAAAAATTAATAAAAAAAAAACACTGCTGGTGATCTAGAGGTCCAGATTATAGATCAAGATCATTACGGAGATTAGGCATCTGGATTTTGGACAATGTACTACACTACTTTTTTAATTATGTAAGAATTTACAATGATTAAAAAATAATTACAAAAATATATAGTATACAGCAGTATTTTTAAGAGCTAAATATAAGAACATACTGCTTAAAAAAAGATAAAAAGTGCAAAATCAATTAGAGGAATAAAAGAGTTTATGAAACTATACACTCATTTGTATTTAAAAAATATTTTAGGTGAAAATGTTCAACATTGTTTTTTTCAAATTATCATGTGATTTTCTTAAAAAATTTTACGACAGAGTTATATACTTTTAAATTATTAAAATGAAAGGCCTCTAGAAAATTTCAGCCACAACAGAACATTAAAATTTTAGTTCCAGAAACAACTTTTAATAATATTTTTTTGTTCAAGAAAATTTATTACAAACTCATTTTCATGATTAAAAAATTACACAGTATGTTTTTATATTTATAAAAATGGATCTATCAATAGCTACAATATACATGTAAAAACATTTCTCTCTTGTGATTTCAATTTATTTTTCATAAATTTGTACATTTGGTATAACTTTCCAAACATAAGATATTAAGGTATGAGGTTTCTTCAGATGCCATTTCAAGGCTAGTTTACTTTAAAATAATAATAATAAACATATTATTAACATATTATATTTGCAATTTACAAATAATAAAATAATATTAATAAACATATTATATTTGCAATTTTTTTTTCAGAATATGTGCATATGATAATACATAAGCTAGTAAAAATGAGCAAATATTGAAAATAAGCATAGTACAATTGCTACAAGAATTTGTTATTTTTTCTTCCTGAAACCAATATATTCAATTTCATTCAAATTTTAAACTTTAATAATTAAAGTCTTCAGTCATGCTCCCCATTAACAAGAACATACGAGTAATCTCTGGTCACTATGCTTATCAGTGGAAGCAAATACTGTAATAAAAGAAGATTTTTACACGATAATAAATAAGAAAAAAAAGAGAAAAAATTCTGAAAGGATCTAAATTTTAATGTCGTACTGGAGGGTTTGTTAAGGTTTTTTATATTCTCACTGAGCATTGCACATTACCAATTTGCTCCTACTAACACACACTTTTTTAGGCCAAAAGGCGTTAGCCCAAGAAGGCTATTAATTTCGTTTTGCAATTTTGTGTTGAAAACTTTAAATGTCCACTTCTCTTTTCAGATTGTTGCCACCAAATATTATTGCCTAGTGTTATATTTAAAGAAATTAAATAATGAAGGATATGCATAAATATATGCATGTTTCTTGCATTGTGATAATACAACGATACCTAGAGACATCAAATTTTGAATAACGTAATTCCCCACCGAATATGGGCATCTGGAAACCCAAATTTGGAATTTGTTTTACTATCTATTTCATATTTTGCAAAGCATTTATAAATTTTTGATTAAGAAACTCAACGATTTCAAAGTGAAAAATAGCAACACTGTACGGGGGGGGAAAAAAAAATATATTTAGCATGCAAGATTGTGTATCGAACATATTAAAGATATGCATTTTTTAGAATATTTTGCAAAATTGCTGAATTGAACTTATTTAAGTGCAAAGAACATGATATTTAATAAATAAAGGTAACATACAAAACATTAAAAAGATGCCCCTTTTGGCATAATATAAAATATGAAAGCTTTCATATTTTTTCCCTTTTTAGCTTTATTATTAAGTATCACTTTCTTTGCACTTACACCACATAAAATTCAAGAGCAAAATCACAAAATATTTGAAAAGAACATTTCTTTAGAACTTTCAACAGAGTGTTAGGGAGTTACCATACTTTTTCTTTATAATCGCCATATTATTTCTTTGAAATCTAGTCAGTTGAGTGGCAAGCCTCCTAAAAGAATTGTCATAAAAAAGAAAAAAATATATATGTAAAGATTTTATTGAGCCAAGCTACTGTCGTTTCATAAAATATTTAATACTTATAATTGGATATCTCATTATTTAAATGTATTTTTTTTAAATCAATCAGATTAAAAAGTAGAGAAAATATTTTTAAGAAGTGCATCTATTGCTTTTCAATCATTTGGCTTGCTATTCAACAACAGAGAGATGAAATTTGAAAGTTAAATACCTTATGCTTTATTAAATGGAAACATGCTAGTGCATGGAGATAATAAGTATTCAATTTGAGGCGGCTGCAACAGATTGCTTTCAAAAAGGCATATTTGTGGATTTACATTTGAATATAAATATACTGTTGAATATTTATTGAATGGCAACAGTCTAATGTGTTGCACATCAAAATGTCTTTTCAAAGTTTTTCGAATTTTTTTCATACCTTGCTTTCAAATTGCTGAGATTGTTAAATAAAAATTAATTAAATTTGTACAAAATATGAAATAAATCAAAAACAAATTCAAAATTTGTACTTCAAGGTATTTAAAAGGTGCTAATGTTCGAGTGGAGTACTATGGGTATTAAAAATTCAGTGGCTCTAGATGATGTTGTTTCCCAATGCAAGGAACATACATACATAAATAAATAGAGATTCTTCATTATTTATTACTTTTTTATAACATTTGGATAACATTTGGTGGACATAATTTGAAATGTGATTTGAACAAAAGGTAATTTTCAAGTATAATAGCACCTCTGATGCTAAAAAAATAATAATAATGATTAGGGGATGATTTTTAGGCATGACATCTTCAAAAAAATGTGTTTTCATAGAGATAGTTTGAAGCATGTATGTCAGGGTATTAAGTAAAATAAATTACACACGGTATTGAATCGTTTTTGGCAGGTAGCCAGTTTTCCCTTTTCCTTGATTATTCAGCAATTTTCCCTTTTCCTTGATTATTCAGCAATTTTCCCCTTTTTTTCTCTAAAACGAACAGTTTTGTAATGCCTTAAATACCTCAGAAAAGAAACACAGATGCCTTCATTAAAAAAAAAATGAAGGTATGGAATCATCCAGTGAAGATTTTTACCATGGCATTACAAATTTCAGGCCACAAGATGAACAAGCCTATATTTAAATCCTTCCTCAAGAAGTAAAGACAAAGAGGTCAGTGAGAGGATTGCAAGAAAATATTACATATAGTCAATTTACAGAAATATTTGAGAAAATAACAGGTGGTCAGCAAACATGCAGTGGAATCCATGGTAGATAAAATGAGTAACAAAAATATATTTTGTATGTATAAGGGTTTCCATTGTCTGATGAAAGGACGAAACACATGTTCTTAAGATATACAGTCAAAAGTCGTTAATCCGGACTCCTCGGGACTTCGGCGATTCCGGATTATCGATTTTTCCGGATTATAGATCATCAGTTTAAATCTGGTAAGATGGCATGCAGAAAATTACAAAATTAAAAATATGAACCGTAATTTATGAAATAAAGAACAATTATGATCTAAAGGGTATCAAAATTTACAAAAAGAAAAAGCTTAAATTATTTGTTTACTTATTAAACCATTTCCTTTCAATGTAAGTTGCTTCGTTTCATGTGATAATACTTTCTCTTTAATTCTATTAAACAGACATAATTTCTTGTTTAGTTACAAAGTTCCGCTGTTCCAGTCCTATAATTGCTTTGTGTTGAGAATACCGACTAATTTGTCAATCGAAATGTTTTTCGTTTTCAATAACATCTGGGGTCACTTTCTTCACTATCGGAAGCGAATATAATGACGAGGAGGAACTTGATTTAAATCATATCAAAGACGGAGTACCATCGAAATGAAATACTACACTTAGTACGGAATTATAAACTAAATAAAAAAAAACATCTGCCCTGAAGAAGATAAGGATAGTGCTGACAGATTAACTTCCATCCGCCGCGTGAAACTGATAAAACAGATTTCGGATTTCAAAAATAACTTTCGCTTTGTAGATACAAATTACATATTAAATATATATCGAAAATTCTATTGACATAATCTTTCTAATCTTCATAACTAATAATGACGTTCTGCCCTCCCTCTGCCGCAGAGCAGCGTGAAATGATAAACAGATTTCGGATTTCAAACATACTTTCGCTTTGTAGTAAATATATATCGGAAATTCTATTTGACATAATCGAAAGTTCAAGCTTACTTTTATAAAATTGCTCTAAACAGTCTGCAAAAAAAAATAAGCCGATCCAATTCGAAGATTAAGGAACAACGCAATCTGAAACATTAACTGAAATTAGAAACTTTAGCTTAGAGTATAACTCCGTTAACATTAACACGCATTGCGCACAAACATATTCGCAGCCGTAAGGGTCTTACGCGCTCTCGTAAACGCCTGTGCGCATGCGTGAACGCGACGCATGCGCAGAAAGTTTGTAGCTTTGAGGTCCGGATTATAGATCATTCCGGATTACGGGTGTCCGAATTAACGACTTTTGACTGTACCAAACTAGTAATATGGATGTTTCTACAATAATGCAGTCATTCAATATTCTTCCAAGAAGTTGTGGCTATAAAGCATACAATACAAGAAAGGATTATGGTAAACAATCAGAAAGCTATATGCTTTTAGCTAGATCATATATCTCAAACTCAGCTACGTGGTATATATTGTACCTGTATTGCAATGGATTGGTGACGGCATGAGAAAAGCATATTGTATGAAATGATTTCATTGTAACCAAAAAGATTATTTTAAAGAATCCTAATCATAATGTTTCATGCTGAAAAGTTACTGGTCTCCACCTATCAGAATTTCTATTTTAACCAGGTGAGATACATGGATCAGATATACAGTTTCTTGTGAAAACCTTTGACAGAATCAAACACTAGTATGTATTAGATTCAATGGCAGTAGCAACCATACAGCACACCAAATAAATGCTCAATAAGATTTGGGAGTTCTTTAAAATGCATGGTACATTTACTTGCCTGATTTGATTAAGAGTTTTGAGGAAGGATGAGCTGGTGGCTTCCAGCTTTTACTGATCTATCGAGGGTATGCAGGACAGTACTGATAGATTTGCTGAAACTGAATTTAAATTAAATTGGAGGAACAATCTAGATGTGAAAGGCCTCTGCAACTTCAACTGAGCTTTCCATCATATTTTTACAAGATATACCCATTGATATGTTGAGCTGAATTTCTCCAAGTACAAGGATCTCCTGAACTCAAAGTGCTAAAAACTTACATTCTAAAACATGGAAATGTTGAGTTTTGCTTATTACAGCAAAATCTCTTGTAACTGGCACACAATAAGGAATCAATATCAAAATAACAGCACTTCTAAAAGGTCTAAATTCAAATCTAAATTTAGGCCTAAGAAATAATAAAAATATATGACGGGCTAACAATCTGAAGATTTAAATCTGAAAACATTTATGTTACCCAACAGACCAAGGAGGTATCTAAAACATAAAGATGAATTTCCATTGATGTATGAACACTGAAGGTATTGACCACGTTTTCTGAAACAATTCCCATTGAAGGATGCCATATTTACTTTGCCTCTTATTTGGAAAGATGTAAAGAAGATTACATGGTCTATGATCATATATATATAGAAGATGAATTGATTAACTCTTTGTTTTAAATCATATTTAGCAACTGTGACTGATACCTTGAATTTAGTTACAAGTTTGGAGAAAGAAAGTATTAGTGAAGAGGAGGTCCAGAACTGGGTGGATGTAGACAATTCTGTTTCTAACACACTCTTTCAAGGTAATGCTGAATAATCAAACTTCTAGGGAAAGGCAAAAGCTGATGTGAGGATAAAGATGAAGATGACAAACAGAGTAAGAAAGTTATGTCGAAGGAAGCTGAAGAAGAATTGCATATTTTCAAAAGATTTGCCGAGAGATGTCCATCTGCGTCAATACAGTAGGTGCCGCTTAATGTGAATACATTTATCCATGGCTATTTTGATAACATTAATAGAAAGATAGTGTTAAATGATGAGAAAAATTTACCTTCAGAATAGCAATGGGATTATACTAATTTAATAGAAATACAACCAGAAATATATAAATAGATACCTTCACAGCATTTTAACAAGGAAAGGTCTTTAAAGCAAAAATTCATTTATGAACTGTTTATAGCATTTCTGGAAACTATATGACATATGCTGAACCCCTAATCTTAATAATGAGAGGACATTCCTCGATGAAAGTAAACATGCCAATGCAAAATTAGCAGATAGGCAAAAAGTAACCTTAGTAGATATTTTCGTGGATTTTTTTTTTTTTTTTTTTTCTTTTTCTTTTTCAAGGAGCAAGGGTGAAAAAATTCTGCAACTACCCTCCTGAAGAAGAAGTATCTGTATCGGTCCATCATCACATTTGCTTAATTTGAAATAGTTGATTATAATCGAAACCAGGCTGTTTAGTTACTTAATCTCTTACTTGGGGGCATTTGTCACTTGCCATTTTTAGAACTATCTTAAAAGCAGGCAGATATTCAAAGTTATGTGCTACCATATTAAGAAGTTTATGAATACAGTAATTTTGAAATTACAATAAATACAGAAACTTCAAAATCTTATTTGATTATGTTTTTTTGAAATTTACAATCATATGCTAGTGCTTTAATTTTAAATAATCTGTAAGAATTTTGCCATTTTTTAACATTATTATTTGACAGAACCAATGGAACTCCGTATACAGCAACTTTTACAAATGGTATCACAAAATAAGAACATACACATTCTAGAAATATATACTGAAGTATCTGGAAAAATCTCTCATCCAGAATTGGGAAGGTTCCATTGCTTGCGATTAGAAGAAATTTTATTGCATTACAGTTTCTTCAAACATAGTATGTGTAATATTTACTTCACTTATGTTATTTTTACAGCATAATCATTACTTGTTTAAGAATTAATCAAGATTATTATAACTGCTATAAGCTGAATAAAAATATTTAATCCTTTACATTTCCTTTTATTAAATCCTTTACATTCATTTTCAGAATCTCTTTCTCCCTTTTGCAACAATTATTCTGCTCTTAAAATCTTTTACCTAAGAATGATATATATTGCCTATCATTTCAGTTAAAAGAATACTTTTTGATGTATGAATTATACTGACCTGAACAAGAAGTGCTTTTGTTATGGAATCTACAGCTAATGATGATGATGCAGTTACCTTGATTTCTATATAACCAACTTTTTCTGGCACAATTAAAAAGGATACTGGAACACCATCAGATGCAGGAATCTGAAAACAAATATAACTTCTCATGGGATGGTCAGAGACATTAAAATGTAATACATAATCCATGTTTTATAAACTATAAAAAATTGTAAACAGTTTCTTCTATTATTTTTGCATCACAGCAAAAAACAAAATTACTTACTGTAACATATTTAGTTCGACGATCTTGTTGTGCAAAATTAATGTCATCTTTGCCAGCAACAATGAATTGAAATTCCCTTTTCCTATTTTCCATAGTTACTTCAGCCTATTGAAAGTCAAACTTCTAATCATAAATGTAAATTCTTAAACATAACAATGACAACCAACAATAATATTGTTACCTGTATTGCCTTATTATTGTAATTGAACACAACCACTTGTATAGCCAATTCTTCTCCTTTGAGAACTACATATGGCAAACTCATAGTGATAAAAAATGGCCTATAAACAGTAATCTAAAAGGGGAAAAACTGCATATATTAATGAAAAGTGAGAGTTCATCAAAACAATTAATGAAAATTATAAATAAAATATGAGGACAAATAACTTTTTGAAATAAATTTTGGTAGTTGTTCACTAGCTGGGTGCAAAATGTTTTTCATGATGCTTAGGAGCAAAAAAAGGTGATTAACAAACAAATATAACACCTTTGTTAATCTAGCAAAAAAACTAGGGTGCTGTATGTGCTCAACTGTTGATTTCTGATGCCATATATATGACTGGAAATGCTCAAATAACAGGCTTAACCACAATATGATTCTTATTCATTTCTACAACTATTCAGAGAGGTCAAATGAAAATCTTAAAAACATAATAAGCATTCAATTTCAACCGCCATTGTTCTGTAAGTTGGCAGGATAATTACCAGTGCTTTAAGGAACACCCAGCAGGATACAGCATACTGCAGACAAGCAAATCGTTGCCACAATACCAGTTTAAAATGACTGCCCTACAAGGGACATGCACCAGTGAAGAACAACATTCTATCAAGAGCATGAGATGAGCGAGTTTTTTGCCTCAAGTGAATGGCTAAAAAGGACACCAAATTAACAAACAAATTTTAGAAATACCTTTAAAAATAAATTACAACTATTAACTAACAATTCTAAAGGAATGTCTTAAGATAACAAATTTAATACAATATAATGTGGGTTATGTTTTGAGGCCTTGTGTGTGCCTTTTTCTTTATCAATTAATCAAGCCAAATAAAAAATTACATTAAGTTCTTATTATCACTTTATATATATTCAGATTTATATATGAATGTTAAGGCAGAAATGATCTGGCAACCACGATGAGAGAAAACAACAACGTGAACAGCTAGCTGCCATTTTGGATTGATTGTGTGCTGGGAGGTGCACATATGTGGATGGCAAGAGTGTCCATCCAAAGAGAAGTAAAATAAAAGAAAGCTACAGTCCATTAATTCAGTGTTTGTATTTCATGAATACTTTTATTCTCGAATAAAAGTATTCATGAAATTCGAATATATGTAGTCCGTGCAAACCGGTAGGAAGATTAGTGCCTGTGGATATAAAGTGCTGGTTAAAAAAGCTTAAAGGTGAAGTGTTAAATTGATAAAAAAAGTGTGATATGTTACTTCGCATTCGACAAGATAATTAAAAACTAGCGTGTGACTTAGAAATTTTGGTTTCATTTGGATTACCTCAAACGGAGGTAAGTGAATTTGCTCATATATGTTCGGTATTATTAATTAACGTTAATTATGGAAGCATTTTTAATTAAGAAAAGAATTTTAAAGTCAAATATAACGAAAGCGACATCAGATTTCGAAAAATATACTTGTGATGAATTTCAGTTACAACTTTTTGAAAATAAATGTGCAAAATTTAATAATGAGTGTTCAGAGATTTTTGATAAATTATTTGTAGTAGTTGATGAAAAAGAGTTTGACAAATATGTAACTGAACAACAAACTGTTCAAGACAGCATTGATACTTTGTGGGTTAAGGTTAAACGGCAAATGTCAAAATTTAGTGCTAAAGATGCAAGTAATGTAAAGATTGAAAATACCAGTGCACAAGGTATGAAATTACCTAAATTAAACTTGCCGTCTTTTAGTGGAAATATTCAAGATTGGTTAAGCTTTCGGGATCTTTTCATTTCAAGCATTCATAATAATAATGTATTATGGATTCCCAAAAGCTCTCGCTTGGGATTTGAAGTGATCATCGCTTCATGGCCCATACGAAAGCCCGCAGTCTATGAATTATTCAATTCAGTGCATATAGAATTTGGTGAGAAACTGAGTATCTGAGCTTATTACATTTCTAAAAAATGCTAGAACTTTGAAGATTGTTTTCAAAAAGGGATTAAAATTGCTTGGTCAAGATTTTAAAATAAAAGTAATTCTTTCCTTGAAAATGACTGTAAGTGAACGTCTTTAATTTGTTAAGAAACATAAATTATGCTTTAATTGCTTGGGTTTTAATCCGACTCATTCTGCAAAGAACTGTCGTTCAGAATTCAACTGTTCAAAATGCATGAAAAAACATCATAGTTTACTGCATTTTCCTAATCAAGACATTTCGCATTCACCTGCTACTATAGCGAGTTGTGTGGGGAGGGAGGAAGCACCGGCTAATAATTCTGACCCACCTTTAGTAGACAACTCGAAGCTAAACGCTGACGCCAGATGTTTTGAAATATTATCTAATTGCAACCAAATAAACAATTCGGAATTTATTGGTTCGTCTGTAACTGCTTCACAAGTGATTTCGAAGGAGGTATTACTATCTACTGCTATTATTTATGTTAAAGATTCTTGCGGGAATTTTATTGCTTTACTTGACTGCGGAAGTCAGTGTTCGTGTTTCACCTATGATTTCGCTAATAGGCTTGGAATAAAAGGGATTAAAATTAACATATCAATTTCATGTTTAAATGGAAAAGCTCTATCGGTAAAATCCAAGCTTACTGCTGTGATATCAAACAAGCGTGATTACCACCAGTGCTCTTGAATTCTTTGTTGTACCTAAAATTAATGATTTAGTACCAGTGAATTATTTTAAATTTTCATTTTCACAGCTTCCGCAAAAGATCAAACTAGCGGATCCTCATTTTAACAAGCCCCAGAAAATAGATGCCTTGTTAGGTGCAGAATGCTTTTATGAACTATTGAAGGCTGATCAAATTCATCCACGAAATTCTAATTTAACTCTTCAAAATTCCGTATTTGGATACATTGCTACCGGTGTAAATGTTGGTTCAAATTCAGGCAATACGATTCAGTGCGGATTTATGAAAGTCGAAGAAGACTTAAATTCACTAATCAAGTCCTTTTGGGAAATTGAGGCTGTTACAGAATCTCTCAAAATAAAAAATAAAGAAGAAGTAGAATGTGAGGAGCATTTTGTGAAAACCCATCAGAGGGATACTGAGGGTAGATATGTAGTGACGCTACCATTAAGGCAAGATGTTCATTTGGGTGATTCTTCGCAATTAGCCACCCAACGGTTAAATAATTTGTGGAAGAGACTAGACAAAACCCCTGACATGTCTAGGATGTATTGTGAGTTCATGAGTGAATATGAAGCGTTAGGGCATATGCAAAAAATGCAGAGTGTGACGGAAACTCCTAAATACATAATGCCTCATCATGGTGTTTATAAGGCAGACAGCAGTACAACTAAGTTACGAGTGGTATTCGACGCATCGGCTCCTTCATCGTCTGGTTTTTCATTAAACGACTGTTTGATAAATGGAGGTGTAGTTCAAGATGACCTATTTTCTATCTTGCTACGATTTAGAAAACACAAGGTGGCTTTCACTGCTGATATATGCAAGATGTATCGGCAGATTCGTATAGATCCTGAGCAACGCAAACTTCAATGCATCCTTTGGAAAAATACGTTGAATGATGCATCTAAACTTTATCAATTACTTACGGTAACATATGGAACAAAATCAGCGCCTTTTTTAGCAACAAGAGTTTTGAGGCAGTTAGCCTTAGATGAAAAGGATAAGTATCCATTGGCTTCTAAAACGACACTCAACGATTTTTATGTTGATGACATTTTGTCTGGTGCAGAAGATGTCACCTCTGCTGTAGAATTGCAGCGGCAGTTAATAGCCATGCTACAATCTGCGAAAATGGAATTGCACAAGTGGTGCTCAAACGAAAAGATTCTTTTAGAATAATTTCCATTCGAAAAACAAGAGTATCATTTTTGTTTCGTCAAAAATCTGTACAAAACGCAGGGGTTTGACAGATATTGCTAAACTGTTTGATCCTTTACGTTTCCTAGGGCCTGTAATCATGCATTCTAAGATATTCCTGCAAAGGCTGTGGCTTTTACATCTAGAGTGGGATGATCCACTTCCTTTCAAAGAGCGACAAGAATGGGACATTTCAAAAGGCCCTACCAGAGTTGAAACAAATCAAAGTCCCTCGTTGCACTCTAATAGAATCAATTAAAGAAATTGAGCTCCACTGTTTTGCTGATGCTTCAAAGTTTGGATATGGTGGAGTAATTTACTTGCGCTATGTCTCTAAACTTGGCGAAGTTAAAGTGACTTTACTTTGCAGCAAATCTCGAGTATCGCCTATCAAATAATAACCATTCCTCAGTAAGTAACCTTCCAAAGTAATAACCATTCCTCGTCTGGAGTTGTGTGCAGCAGAGCTCCTTTCCAAACTTGTGTGTAAGGTAATAACATCTTTGAGTTTATATGTTGACAAAGTTATTCTGTACACAGATTCAACAATTGTGTTAGCCTGGATTGCTACATCTCCTCATCTTCTAAAAGTGTTTGTGTCAAATAGAGTAGCTCGTATCCAAGAGCTAACTAAGGATTTCTGCTGGCAACATGTCAGAACAGCAGACAATCCCGCTGACCTAATTTCTCGCGGTCTGAGACCGGAAATTATTGCTGACAACTCTTTGTGGTTTCAAGGACCAAATTTTCTGCATCAACAGGTCATTAATTATAGTAGTGTTAATAATAACTTTGAAAATTCAAATGAGAACTATGTGCGCGAACTGAAACTTATTTCTAATGTAAATTTGATACAGGTGGACGTCCATCCGCGGGACTTTCTGCGCATGCGGTTTACGGCCGCTAAGCTAAAATTATCTAATTATCTATTTCTTGCAGATTGCATTGTTCCTTACTCTTCGAATTGGATCTGGCTTATTATTTTTTGCAGATTGTTAGAGCAATTTTATAAAAGTAAGCTTGAACTTTCGATTATGTCAAAAAGAATTTCCGATTCTGGAGCTGCCAAAGAATCTACAAAGTGAAAGCATGTTTCGATGTACATCAAACAAGAAGTGAAATTGCTGCAAAAAATGGATTAAGGCATATTCTTTGTTTCTCTAATCATTTCAAAATGTGTTTATCAATTACATGCTGCTCTGGGGGGTGAAACGTCACAGCGCGCAATGAACTGGAAGTTGATCTGTCAGCACTATCCTTATCTTCAGGGCAGATG